AGCCGAGCTAGGTCCGCAAATCTATTCGTATTATTCAAGTCAACTTGATACGTGTGGTGGGTATTTTGTACTTAATTCGAGCTGCAGGGCAGCTACAGTGCTGGTAAGCACACCTATCGCAGAATCATCAGGCGCGTTCGTCTCTTGACTCCAGAGGTCTGAACTCGGTTTGCTAGCCGAGCTAGGTCCGCAAATCTATTCGTATTATTCGAGTCATCTTGACAAACGCTCTCGGTATTTTTTCTGTACTTAACTCGAGCTGTAGGCAGCTACAGAGCCTACAGTCACAGAAATCGATTGAGAATTGTCAGGCGCGTTTGTCTGTAGTATCGAGAGCTCTGACGGCCTGCTGCCCGAGCTAGCTTCGCGAAACTGTTCGTATTGTCCGAATCATCGTGAAAAGTACTCTCAATTTTCTGCACTCAACTCGTGCTGGGGGAGGGCTAGTGCTGCGGGTCATAGAAATCGATTTGCACACATCAGGCGCGTTCGTTGGTCGATTCGAGAGCTCAGAACTTGGTCTGCTGCTCGAAACAGGTCTGCGAAACTATTATATTATTCGAGTCATCCTGAGAGATGCTGTCGGTGTTCTGCACTTAACTCGGGCTGTAGGGGGGCTGCGGGGCTGGTAATCACATGAGTCGATTCGAAGACATCAGACGCGTCCGCCTGTCGCATTGAGAGGTCTGAACTCGGTCTGATCAGACGCGTCCGCTTGTCGCATTGAGAGGTAAAAATATATTCACTATGAGTCAGAATGTTGGTTGGTGCTCTCGGTTTTCTCAACTTAAGTTGAGCTTGGAAGCTCTACGAGTTCCCCGGCGGTAACCAAGGTTGACGGTTTACCGCCGGCGCCCAGTGCGGCGTTCCGCGCTTTTCGCTATCCGGGTTTTGGACGCTTACAAGTAGTCGTATTGATACCAATAATAGTACTAACAATGCTACTAATAATAATACTAAGAAGCATACTAAGAAGACGAATAGTCATGATACGAAGAAGAATAAGCATACACATACTAGTACCGAGAATAATAATAATAATAATATTAATAATACTAATACGACTACGAAGAGAAATATTTAGAGTGGTACGAATAAGAATAATAATATATAACCACTACTAGTAATACTAATGATAATATCATTATTATGATTTGTAGACTTATGAATACTACTAGTAATTCTAATGCTAGTACTACTACTCATATCAATACTAATACGATCACTAATAATAGTAGTAGTAATAATACTAATAATAATAATGCCAATACCAGTAATAATACTAATACTAATATGATAAATACTACTACTACTATTACTACTGCTATTACTACTACTACTACTACTAATAATACTAATGATGATGCTGATAATACTTGTAATAACACTAATAGAAGTACTGAAACTATTACTAATAATACGAATAATGATCAAACTAATAAAATAGTAATAGTAATGCTACTACTTTAGTAATAATACTACTGCTACTGCTGCTACTACTACTACTACTACTACTACCAGTAATGTGAATAATACTACTAAGAATAATAATAATACCACTAACACGAATGAAACTAGTAGTGCTAATAATAATAACAATAATATTCACAGTAATACTAGTAATGATAATAATAACAATGCTAGTAATAATACTACTAATAATAACAATAATAATAACATTAATAATACTATTAATAATAATAATGATAGTAGTATTAATAATACTACTATTAATAATGATGGTAGTAATAATAATAATAATAATAATACTAATAATAATAATACTACTACTACTACCAATCATAATATAATGATAATAGTAATAATACTAATAGTATTAAAAATAATAGCAATACTAATAACAATTATATTATTAAGACATATACTAATATGAAACATATAAGAATAATGATAATAATGAGAGGAGGAGGAGGCGGAGGAGGAGGAGGCGACGGCGAAGGCAGAGGCGGAGGCGGAGGCGGAGGAGGAGGAGGAGAAGGAGGAGGAGGAGGAGGAAGAGGAGGAGCAGCAAGCATGAGGACAAACTAGGTACGCTCGCGTCATATCTGGCGTCACACTTCCTCCCATCCTTTCCATGTTGTAGATCTCCTCTTTATTCGCACAGGTTGATGTCGTAGCAGGGCATGACATTACATGGCATAAAGTGGTGTTGAGTATCAACGCGTAGCCTGGCATAGCATGGCGTTGCGACGGCCCAAAGTGTGGGGGGGCTTCTGCGGCTCAAAAAATCAGCGAATCGACGCCGAATTTGTAATCACATCCGATGGTTGTTTCGCATTTTTTGTGTTTTGAGATTTTGGGGCCTGTTTGGAAGGGTTGAACACCATGCTGTGGCTTGGCGCTGGAAATACTAACGCCAGCGCTGCAGCGGGAGCACGATTCGGACCGAGCGGAAGCGCGGAAATGAGCCAACGCTGCAGCAGGGGCATGCTGCGGAGGACGCCTAGCCTGACATAGCATGTCATGGCGACGCTCCAAATGGCGGGGGGGCTTCTGCGACCCGAGAAATCACTTAATCAACGCCGAATGTGAAATCATTTCCGATGTTTTTTTGGTTTTCCGGGGGGGAGGGGCATTTTAAAATTTTGTGATTTGTTGGAAGGACCGAGAACCATGCCGTGGCATCGCGCTGGAAATGCTGACGCCAGCGCTGCAGCGGGAGTACGATTCGGAACGAGCGGAAACGCGGAAATGAGGCCAACGATGCATCGGGACGATTCGGAACGAGCTTTAGCCCGAAAATGAAGCCAGCGCTTCAGCGAGAGCAGAATTTCGAAAAAAGTACCCAAGCGAAAGCCCTGCGTCGCCGTGGCCACGAGGTAGATGCCGCCCTTGTCCAGCAGCTCGTGGCCCAGCTCCTTCCCCTCCTCGAGCATTTCGAGCGATGCTGCCCAGACGCCGTTCGGGCCCGTCGCGCAGCTGTCAATGGTGCACGCCGCCAGGCCACGCTTCTGACAAACCTCGGGTCGTCTTTGTTGGGGCACTCACGATGCCAGTGTCCCTTGTCCTTGCATATGCCGCAGCGGGTGATATTCATCAGATGCTCGGGCGAGAGCGTGGGGAAAGTCTCCGTCCGTCGCCTCGTCGGGCCACTGCCGCGGTCGCCGCGCCCGCGGCCGCCGCCTCGACCGTCGCGTCGGTTTCGTCCTCCCGCTGGGCGCGGAGGGCGAGGGGCTGACCCTGCCGTTCCTGACCTCGGACGTGCTCCGAAGCATTCTCGATCACGTTTGGCTGCTCGTTTGATGTCTTTGTTCTGCTTCCAGGTCCTCGTGTTGGACCCAGACTCAACGATAGCCAGCGCCCCGGTGACCGGAGTCTCGTCCAGGTCAAGGTCCTCCAGCTCTGCAAGTAGAACTGCCTCGTCCTGCTCGTCATCGTCGTGGGAGTCGTCGTAGTCGCCGTCGTCCTCTTCGAGACCCTCGGACTCACCAACCGAGTAATTACGAGGGACAGGGGAGGAGACTGTCGAGGGCGCCGTGCTCTTCGGCCTCGGTGCCTGCTGCAAGCGACGTGCTGGCCGGCCGAGGTGGAGGGAGCCTCTCAGAGCCTGTGCCTGGACGCCCGAAATGGGCGCGGAAAGAATGGGTACGATGCCCAACAGCAGTTCTTGTTCATTCTGAACAGGACTCGCTGTCCGCGCCGCCGCGGCCTGTGTCCATTCGAGACAGGAGGTCGCCCGCCCAACAGCGGCCGCTGTTGGTTTGGGACAACATTTGCTGTTGGGCATTGTGCCCATTCTTTCCGTACCCATTTCGGGCGTCCAAACTGTGGCATCCACCTGCCGAAGGGCCCAACTCGTGTCCTGGAAGTCGAGCTTGCCGCGGGTGAGGGCGCAGAGACTCTGCACCCCCTGCGCGGTGAGTCCTGTGCCCTCCTCCAGCAGCAGTCCTTTCATCTTCGGAGAGAGCCGGAGATCGTTCGTCCCCGCCTCCTGGAACAGTGCCTCGCGTCGCCCGACAAGCTGCGTCCAGCAACTCCCTGTCCTCACGGGCTGCCTCGAAGAGTGCGCGACGCCCCGCTCGACGGAGGTCATCACCCGGTCGTCCTCCTGCCATGAGGTCCATGTTGGGCCGAGCGCCGTCGTGATCCAGGAGGCGCCGGGCAGGCTCCCGTCCGGGATGTCCTCGAACTTCGCCTGCACATTCCAATAGAACAGCTTCAAGAACCTGTCGCCATGCCGCCGCACTGGAACGTCGGTGTTGTTGTTCCATCGGCGCGCGCCGCCATTGCCTGTTGTGTGTCCAGCCTGGCCAGGCTGGGGGATCTGAGTAGTCTCCCTTGCCCCCGCCCCAGCTGCCAGATGACCGGCCCCAGCTGCTGGGATGTTCCCACGCGTCTTCGACCGACTTGTCCCAGCTGTCGGCCTGCCAGTCGTCCTTCTTCCACCGAGTGTCACTGGGCCAGAACGCAGGGGCTGCTGCCCTCGATGGGTCAAAGATGCTCTTGTCCTCGTCCCGGTCGTTGTCGTTTTTCTTGCTCTTCTGCTCCGCCTCGCCCACGGCCGCAGCAGCCGGGGCCGCTGCGCTCGTGGTCTCACGGACTGCCCCCGCCACGAGCGTGTGGAGCTGTCCCATGGAGATCGTGATGTTGCCGGACGCGGCCCTTCCTGGCGAGGCCTCCGGTGTCGGCGCGGCTCCAGTAAACCAATTTTCGTCCGCAGGCATCCCCGCTGTCCGCGCCGGTCCGTCGGCGCGGGCCCAGCTCCTGGC